GCCCCACGTCAGCCCGGTTTGGGGCTTGGCATGACCCGGGCCCCCTCCCCATCTAGTGCCCACCGAGCCCTGCAGAGCGGGTCACCACAAGTATCTCCCACCCTGAGGCTTCACGCATGCTGCCATCCTGGTTCCCAGCTGGCATGGAGGACCCTCTCCCAGCCCCGGTTACTCCCTGGCTCTTCCTTCTTGCAGCTGCTCTTTGCTCCCAGCCCTAGTCGGACACGGAGGCCACTGAGGCCCTCCGCCTGCTCCCCTTCCGCCGTGCTCCGGCCAGCCCTCCTGTGCCTCCCCTTCTTTCTGCTTGTTCAAATCTGTCGTTTCTTTGCTGTCTGGTAGAAACTCGCCTTCTCCCTGCAACCAGGTGTAAACGTGCTATGTTTTCCCTGGCTGCGGTTTCCTCAAAGGCAAAGCTACTGGCCGCCCTGTGAACCCAGTATGGCTTTCAAGACCCACAGCCCCATGTGACGGATGGAATGGGCTGTCTCACAGACCTGGGTGCACGCCACGCCTCTGCCCTCCTAGCTGTGCTCGCAGGCAAATCCTGCCTCTGCTTGGCCCTCCGCTTCCACGTCTGCTCCATGGGAGGAGCTCCACCGAGGCGCCGGGGTGGCCGATGAATCCAGATAATGAACGTAGCCAGTGTTTCCAATACGCAGTACCTGGGAGTGCTGGGTGTTATCACGGTGATGTCTTCTTTGGAAACAGGTTGAAGCTGGGCCTAGACCCTTTCTGGAAAGTATGTCCTGAGTATTTATCGGGCGCCTGCTGTTGGTCTAGCGCTGTGAAATGCGCTTAGGGGGTTAATGCGAAGGCCCGGTTTCCAGCCAGAGAGCTCAGGTCCCGGGGAGATAATGCACGTGTGGGAGAAAGCCTGGGCCTTGGACAGTGTTTAATTCACTGCGTGGCGTGCGTGAGCCTGCCTGAGAGTCGGGTGGGAGTTCTGAGGGGGACTGGGGAAGGCTTCCTGGAAGAGGGAGCCTGCAGCCGAGGGAGGAGGGAGGAGGCGGCCTCTGCAGGGTGCTGGTCTCCAGCCTCCCCTCTAGCCCACTGCTGCTAAGCTTTGCATCCTGCCCCACTCTGGCCTGAAGCTGAGTGGCTGCTCCTCGGCAGAGCCCTATCTGCAGGAGAAAACTGCAGTGCACGAGTGTCAGAGACTTATCCAAGGCCCCATGGCCCAGAGGGGGCAGGGCTCTACTGGGTGAATCAGTCAGGCCCTTCTAAGGGACACGGTGCCCTTCAGCCCCACCCCCGGCCAGCCTGGTGTTTGTGTCCACCCTGGGACGCCGTGATCCAAGCAGAGCAGGGCCGCTGACCTATGGGCCGCAACCCACAGAGCGACCAGTGACCCAGGAAGGGCTTGGTGTGGAAAGGAGGGCCATGCAGCTGCAGTCTCTTGGGGGCTGGGACTAGGACGCTCTGAGAGAATGAGGCGGGTGAGGCTTGCAGACTGAAATGGCATGTTGGCGTAGAGGCCAGCCTGGGTTGGCCTCTCGCAAGCTGAAGCCGGCAAGAAGCTGAAGGGGGCTCTTGGGCCTTGGGAGGATGAGAAGACAAGGGAGAAGCGCTAATGGAGGGATTGGAGACAGCTGGCAGAGAGACCGCAAAGAAGGGCCAGGCAGCAAAGTGGACAGACCGAGTCCTTGGGGTCCCTCTGACCCAGCCCAGCATGACCCTTGCTAGTCAGCTCCTGTGCGGCTCATAGAGGTACCGAGATCTGGTTTCCTTAGCAAGTGGAAGTGTGTTTCGTGCCTGTCCCAAGGAAGTACAAGCAGGCAGGGCCAAGCTGGCTTGCTCAGAGGGGAATGGCCTGGCTTCTTGCAGGGAGGCCCTCCTCTTCTTTCTGACCCTGACTTCCCCACTCACTCCGTGGCCAGGCTGGAGGGTACTAGCCTTAGCCCCTGGGATCCTCTCCCACTTCCTGAGAAGCCAGAACCAAACTTGAGGCCCTCTGTTGGCCAAGGCCGGGGGCAGAGCCGAGTCGAGCCTCCTTCCCCACACCGCCTACGCTCCTGGAGTTCTTGGGCTCCTGTGCACCCTCCTCACAGGCACCTTCTGGGATTAAATCAACTGTCTCCCAGTCTCTGTCCTCCCCTGCTTCACCAGCCTCCTCCTGTGTCCCAGGGCCGCTGAGGCTTTCTGTTCTGGGCCGGAGGCCGCTCACAGTTCCACAAGGAGCAGAGCCAGGCCAGCCCCCAGCTGCGCCCCGGGACTGAGATGGTGCCTGGAGACCAGGAAGACGCCTGCAGCCGCGTGCTCACCGATCCGCATGTCCCAAAAGGAAGTCCTGTTTTGCCTGACTTCCTGGGGAGACAGACACGATGAAGGGTGTTAACTCCAGTGGCTAGGGAATAGCACATGGTTTTTCTCTCTTCTTGATAGCTGGTCTCATTCCGCTGTCCAGTTATGTCATCCCTCCTATTAAATAATCTTGAAAAATATACCCTCTCTTTAGTTTGCTGAGGGATATAAATTATTCTCAGGAATATAATGAACTGTACAGTTATGCTGATGGCTTAAAAAGGTATTGCCAGTTTTATTTTTTTTAAAAGGGAGTGAGTCTCCAGCCCCCTTTCTGCCCCAGAATGCCAGGGGCCAGAGGCTTAATGGTGTTGCAGGATGGCTTCAGTGACGTCCAGGTAATGATGCCCAGGTATCTTGGTGTTTTGGACAGAGAGTTGAAACACGCCAGTAGTAACAGGAAGTGATTTACTAAGTAAAAGTGAAACGTATTCCCGAAAGGCAGGAGTGGACCTGAGTGTGAGAGGGAGAGGCTGGAGGGCCCCGGCAGTTACATCCTGTGCAGGCTATAACTTACACCCAGGTGGTTGGTCATCGATTGGTCACTGGCCTGGCCCACTATTGTCAGCCCACTGGTCTGTCTAATGGGCCTGGGCCCACTGGCCATCTCATGGCCATATCAAATGTGGCTTAATCAGCTAGCCATCCGCACTGGAAGTCTCCTGCGGGCCTTAGCTGGGGCGGGGATTTCCTGTCCGACTGGGTTTTCTATCTAGCCACGTGGGCAGATGCTCCAGCCCCCTCCCCAACTTCTACCAGCTAACTTTCTCTTGCCTCAGTGGTTAGGCACTCAGGGAGCTCAGGAAAGGTCAGGGAGAGTTGAAAACACGTTTGTGGTGGGGGATTGCTATAGTTTGAATAAGTCCCCCCAAGTTCGTGTGTTGAGTCTTTTTTAAAACTTTGAGTTTGTAGTAGGGAATGAGCGTCTCTCTCATGGGGAAGTGAGAAAGCACTCCCGGGTGGGAGTGGCCACATCACAATCCCTTCTTCGTTCTCCTCTCAGGACTCTGGGCCTGCCTGTACACATGCCCAGTGTGAATTCCAAGCTGCTGGGTCCAGGACTTGAACCGTGTAGTTGGCCACGTGGGCTCCAGCAGCCTTAACCTCTGTGCTACCTGGCCAGCCCTCAGTGCCCCTATCTGTAGAATGGGGGTCATCCCACATAATGTGGGAGTGTGTGAGGACTGGAGGAGATAAACCGTGCCTGGCATACGGTAGGGTCCTGGCCAGCGGCCGGCTATGTCAACTGAGCCCGCAGCAGCTTCCCCCTGGTCTCAGCTCAGGGATCTGTTGGAGGAGGCAGATGGGCACCGGCCTGGGCTCTTACACCTTCTGCATGAGGAGCCCGTGCTGAGGGGTACCCTCCAGGGCAGCCCTACACAGGGCCCCTTGGGGAGCTCCCATTCCCACCCTCAGAGTTTTCATTTTCAGTCCGCACCTCTGGATGGTTTTTCTCTTTCTTACTTGCTTTTACAAACATCCCTTAATGACAGATTCCGTGAGTTCTGGGCCTTTGCTTTGAAAGGTTCCCAGGCCCTGGGGTTGAGGGATCTAGCCTAAACCTTGCCCTGCCTCGTGTTCCTGCTTGTCTTCTTCGGTTCATTCTGGAGAAAGGCTCCTCTTTGGTGGTAATTCCTACAAGGCCAGTAGCCAGGGCCTCTGCCTCCCAGTGCCGAGGACTCTGCCGTGCTGGGCCTGGGGCTGCCTCGCAGGGGCAGCGAGGCTGCAGTGAGCAATGCCTGGCACCCCTCCTTGGAGTCAGAACGCAACTGGAGAGTCCTGAGGGGTGGAGGAGGGCGCTTGCGGGTTGGACTGTATGGTACATTCTGGGCAGAGTTACTTTTTTTTTTTTTGGAGAGATTTTTCACTGTAGGGCGCGTGCGCTCGCCAGACAGAGAGAGACATAGAGACAGAAAGCGAGAAATCACCCCCCAGGGGGGATGGTCACGCCGCAATCCCTTCTCCTCCATTCTCCTCTCGGGATCTTGGGCACGCACACACACGCACCCGGCGTGAGTTTTAAGCCACCGGGTCCGGGACACGAACCGCGGTCGACTACGTGGGAGTCCAGCGACATAGCCATTACGCTAACTGCTGGTTCCCAGAGTTAGGTTTTGAATCCAGCCTGGTGGGATCTGACTTCCTGGGGAGTCCTACGGAGGCGGGGGATTCCTGAGCAAGACTCGAGGCAGGCGCTGGGCTGTAGTGTCTCTAGAGGGGGTCAGGGTGGTACTCATCCCGTTGACACAGCCAGCAGGCCAGACTCGCACTCACAGGTCGGTTGGGTATTAATTTGGGGAGGCTTTGGGGAGGGGATGGAGAAGATCAGGAACTCAGTCCTGCAGCCTTTGTCCTGGCACGACCTCTGACCCCACCTCTCTGGGTCTCGCTGTTGTCAGCCCTATCCAACTTCCAGGGTGAGTAACTCACTTACCTGCTGTTCTGGCCAGGTGTCATCACGTTCCCAATTCCTGTGGGGCTGGAGATACGCTATCAGGATCCCTCTCAGAAAGTGCCTGTCTCTCGGCCAGTCTCTCCAGCTCTGCGTTGAGCACCCTTGGCCCGCCCCTGCGGAGGGGTGGGTCCCGATGCTGCTCAGCTCACCGTGAGAGCTGGTGAGAGCCAGGGCTCTGAGATGCTCACAGCCGCCTTTGTTCCTTTATTTGCCCAGCCCTGAGCAAACACACCACAATAAACTAGATGGCATTTGGATATTGAAAATGCAAAGAGAAAGTGTCTCGAAGAACAATAAAGGGGTTAGAGCAGGGCCTAGGTGCAGGCGATTTCATTGTCTAATTCCCCTCGAAGGCAAGCTGGCTGTCCAGACAAGGAGTGGTTCTCCGCGGCCCTGGCGAAGCCCCATGTCACAGTGCTGCTCTTCCAACATCCACCTTATTGCACCAAACACGATTCGGAGTCTGCGGGGAATTCAGACTTTGCAGGCAGGACAGAGGACGTGTTTTAGCCACGCCCCAGCAATGACACGAGGAAAGGCCAGGTCTCCGAAGCTTGCAGGGAGGAGAAAAAAGCTGAGAATGAAGTCGCTGGGGAGCAACAAAGCCTGGCTCAGTGGCAAAACACTAGGCTTTGTGAGGCATTTCCACACGGGAAGGTTCCTGGTTCAAGGCCGGAGACGCCCTGTACATGGCGGGCTTGTGCTTGCCCGTGACCCAGCAGTCTCTGGGTCTTGGCGGGCTGAATGCCATGGGTTGATTTTAGCATCCAGACCCTGCCAAGGGTGCTCTCTCTCTGCCTGTCTCTTACTCATGGAAGAAATAACTTAAAAATAATAAAAAAAGGAAAAACAAGAGCCGATGGGTCCATAGGCACAACACCTCTTCCAGGAACTTCTGTGCTCCCCAGGGATCAGTGACTTCCGCTCTCCTGCCACCCACTGCCCTCAGCTACTGCTTTCATGGCAGGCCTGCGCACTCACGCAGGGAGCTCCGTGTGCCCGGCTCTCGTGCTAGGACGGCCTGCGGAGTTTTTGTGAGCGCGCTTTCATAGGAGCACGCCGTAGGGGGGTGTGACATGGCTTTTGCTCTCACAGGGCAGTTGGGGTACTGCCAAACCACGAGTACTTACCATCTGCCCAGGTCTGCTGACTTCTGCCCAGGCGACAGACAGCGGCGGGCAGGGCTGCTCTCACAGGATTCCAGCCCCAGACACCGCGCTCTGTGCAAGGCAGGCTCCTCCAAGTGCTCCTTAAGGAAGGAAGGTCGTGAGGACAGCAGGGGAAACAGCTAAATCGTTCAGAGCAGGAAGCATTGTGAAGGGCTTTCAAAGCCTTCATCTATGTGTTGCGTAGCTGATCAGCTAATTCCCCAGCTGTCTTGTGCTAAGGTTGAAGTGGCCCCCTAAAGTCTTGTTAGGTAACACCTTGTTAACCTGGCTCAAGGAAACCTGAGTGTCTTTTTTTTTTTTTTTTTTTTTAGAGGTTTTTGCTATAGGGCGCGTGCGCTTGCCAGAAGGAGAGAGACCGAGAAACAGAAAGCGAGAAATCACCCCCCAGGGGGGATGGCCACGCCGCAATCCCTTCTCCTCCGTTCTCCTCTCGGGATCTTGGGCACGCACGCACATGCGCCCAGCGTGAGTTTAAGCCACTGGGTCCTGGACTCGAACTGCGGTCGACTACCTGGGAGTTCAGTGACATAGCCATTACGCCAACTGCTGGTCCCTGGTGTCTTAAAAATAACAGAAGTTCAGTTTCTGTAATGCACACTCAATTCTCCCACAACTGCAATCTCTCTTTAGTCTGAATCAGCCATGAGCTGCCTCTGCAGATGCAGCGTCAGGTAGAGACTGGTGGCCCACAGAGGCAGCACCGCACTCTCCACCCTGTGCCTCAGGCCTGCTCCTCAGGGCCCCCTGCATTCCCAGTGCCCAGGAAAATGTGATATGGAAAAATTTAAAATACTGTCTTCAAAAGTAACATTCCTGGGGCAGCAGTGGTGTGGTGGTTAAGGAGCTGGATTCCCACGTGGCCGACTGTGGTTCAAGACCTGGAGCTGGCCGCTTGAAAATCATGTCAGGCGGGTGTATGTGCCCAACGTTCCAGGAGGAGAGTGGAAGAGAATGGAAGAGACTGCAGTGTGGCCATCCCTGCTGGGGGATGCTTTCTCATTTTCTCTCTCATTGTCTCTCTCCCCAGTGAGTGCACACGCTTTATGGCAAAAACAAAAACAAAACCAGATAAGTTAATATTCCCCGCAATAGAGCAAGACCGATATGGAAGAAACTTTAATTAGAAGTCTACTAAGCGCAAGGTGTTACAATTCCCTCTCAGCCCCTAGAATTATCTATAAATCCCACGAGATGGGGAAGTGGGTGCATTTTCAGATGTGTGGCATGACATGGGGTGGGGCCTTCCACGTGGAAGTGGGTGCCCAGGAGCGGGCAGATTTCGTGGGGTCCAGAGCCCATACGTTTTGGGGAGCTCGCTTTAAGAACGAGGACACAGGAATATCTTGCTTCTTGACGTACTACACATTATATATGTTATGTATATAAAATGTGTACTATTTGAGGTGACCTTGCAAAGACTCGGAAATCTGTTCCTTAGCCCGACGGTACATACTACCGTTCGTGGGCTGTTAGGGTGATGTGCAAGAGTAAGCTCAGAAAGTGCTGCAGGTCCCGTGCTGGAGAGTCACAATTCCTGGTCACGTTCTAAGGTTCTGAGAAGTCCTGCAGTTAATTCTATTTGACCCAGAGTCCTGTTTTCCTTTTCTTTCTCTTTCTTTCCTCCTTAAATGCCCTCTCTGGGTGAGTATTTCTGAACAACTGAGAAGCAGACAGGGAAAGCCTGGCTTAGTTTCTTCTCCCCCTCTTCTCCAATCCCTTTCCATTTTATGGAGAAGGAAACTGTCAAGGCCCCGGATCCTCTGCGATCTCACAGCTAGGGAGCAGGGATGTCTTACCCTTTCCCTCCAACCTCGCCTGGGGTGGCAAGGACAGCAGTTCAGAAATGGTAGGGACCAGCTCTCTGAGGGTGATCAGGTAGGAGAGTGGGTAGCTAAGAAGACAGGATCTTTCATAAGAGATTTCCAAGGTAATAAAGATTTGTAATGTAATAAAGTCCTTTCAAAAAAAAAAAAATCTGCAGCTCAGACTTTCTCTTGCTTACAATTTGAAAAAAAGTTAGGGGGGCGCATTTTTTTTTCCTTTAAGTTTTTTTTTTGCTACAGAGTGCTTGCACTCACTGGAGAGAGAGGGAGAGAGGGAAAGTGAGAAATGACTCCCCCCCCCAAGGGAGGATGGCCACACTGCAATCCCTTCTCCCCCATTCTCTTCTTGGGATGTTAGGCAAACACACACATGTACTTGGCGTGATTTTCAAGCTGCCAGGTCCTGGACTTGAGCTTGGCGTGCTTTTCAAGCTGCCAGGTCCTGGACTTGAACCATGGTTGACCACGTGGGAATCCAGCGCCTTAACCTCCACACCACCTGCTGACCCCCCAAATGGGGCATTTTGACTTAAACGAGGACAAAAGGGATTGATTGATGTGTGGATTCCTGTGTCTCACTTTCTATTAGTGCGGCCTTTCTTTTTCTTTTCCTTCCCCATTAAGAGTTTGGCACAAGACTGGAGACACGATTTGCAGATCCCTGTGCAAAATGAAAATACCAGGGCCCACATTCAGAAATCCCGGAATTTCAGGGGAGTGACAGGAGAACAGCAAACGAGGTAGCACAGGCCACATCACTAGCCACCCACATCCCCCAGGCTCCGCCTTGCTGGGTGTACACTTGTTTTTAGGTATTTCCAAGGTCAAAGTTCTGAACATAATTCTATAGGGAAGGTCCGGTGGCTTACGGGAGGACGCGACTGTGTCACGAAGGGCTGAATCCTGGAACCAGGCAGTGGAGACCGGAGACACAGACTGCAGGGTGAATCATTAGTCCAGCATTCTAGGCCACTTAGCCTTGTCAATCATTCATCAGCAGTGCTGGGGAGGTGTAGCTCACAGTACTGTTACAATTGGCTCCGCCTCTAGCTCCGCCTCTCAAGTGAAATCCTGGCTCTAACCTGGGTGTTTTCAAAAGCAGTGCTAGTTACTATGTATCCAGGAGGATGGGATCAGCCCACAATAACTCCCTGTTCTCCTGGCATAATAATTAACCCCTTCTACCAGGGACTCCGTCTTACTGCCCTGCGGGTCAACAGTGGGTCATTGTGAGTGTGGTGATGGGTGACGAAGCAGGGAGAACTGCTTTTCCTGGCTCAGGGGCATTTTCAGAGGCAGGGATGTGGCACACACTGGGACTTGGAAGGGGCAGAATCAGAGGCCACTCCTTGTACTGCTTGGTGACTCCGATTTTCAAAAAGGGCTGTCTCTGCAGGTCCTTGAAAAGGGTTTCTGGGCTCCTTGGCCCCAAAGTGAATTATGGTGGGATTCGAGACACACTCTGAGCTGTTTCTACTTGCATCTCAGCCCGCTCTGGGTCCGAGGCTCCCAGAAGTGCGTGCTCACTGGGCTTCCCGCTCCTGGGACTCTCCTGGACCGATGCTTGGTCTCGTGACTGGGGTCCCCCACTCCTACCCCAACTGGAGACTCTCCAGGTCTGCCAGCATCCTCTCTTCTGAGAAAGGAGGTGTTTGACCCACAGGGATGAGAGGAGGACCTGAAACCCCAGGAGGACCAGGGCAAGGTACACACGAGACCTTCCCTTCTGCCCTGGCCAGCGAGGGCACCCTTTCTGACCCTTGCCAGCTGCAGTGGTTTTAATTAACACGTCTCTCTTTTTGCTTTCAGCCTTTTCTTGGCTCGTGGCAGAGCACTCCTTGGAGCTGAGCAGAGAGTGGGCAGGAGGGAAAGCTGGGGTTCTGTGGGGGCCTGGAACCTGGCAACCTCTGCCAGGGAAGTGGGCTCGACTGTCACCGCACGTGTGGCCCTGGCCGAGAGACGTCCTATGCAGGCCACCGGTGCTGTGTCCTCAGGCCTGCTTTCCTTGTTTACCTGGGCATTAGGCCGTGCGCCCTGAGAAACCCGGTTAATTCTCCTTATCCCCAGTCGTGAGTCCCCCACGCCATGTGACCCTGTGTTTACTCTCTGCTCCCGAAGCAAATGGTTCTGAGGCGCCTTGGCGGAGAGCGCCCTTTCTGCTGACGGCGCACCATCAGGCCGAGAGCGCCTGCGTTGACAAACCCGTGTGGACAAACCCGCGTTGATGCAGGGACGAGTTACTCGCTTGTCTCTAGCACAGGGGAACCCCAGTTAATAACTGGTGAGGGGAAGTGAAGTGGCCATAGCCACTCCTCTTTTTCCCTCTTTCTTTTTAAACTTCTCCTTTCTTCCTGTCTTCCATGAGTGAGAGAGAGAGAGGGAGGCGCCTGATCAAGTCCACGCCTGCCTCGGCTGGTCCTGACCTTCAGCACCTGTGCCTGGTGTGCAGGGAGGTCTCCCTTCCCCTGTGGGTCGGCCCACAGAGCATTGCCTCCTCCTCTCCGCTTTTAAGGCAGGCTTTAGTGTCTCCCTGATAATCTGTTGGTTGTTTTGCCTCAGGTGGTGTGGTGGCTAAGGTGCTGATTCCCACGTGGCTGAGCACGGTTTGAGTCCTGATCCTGGTGGTTTGAAAATCATGATGGGTGAGGCTAGCAGATAGCGTAGGGGTTCCATCTCTGGACTCCCACATGGTTGACTACAGTTCAAGTCCTGGACCCTGTGGCTTGAAATTCACACCAGGTGCATGTGTATGCGTGCCCAAGAACCCAGGAGGAGAATGGAAGTGAAGGGATTGCAGCATGGCCATCCCCCTGGGGGTGATTTCTCACTTTCTCTCTCTCTCACTCTCCAGAAAGTTCACATACCCTACAGAAAAAAATAAATAAATAAAAGGCAAGCAAGCACAGTTTTTACATTTGGCAAGGAATTTGCAAACAACACATCTTCCTGTTGTCCACTAGACTGGGAAAAGACACCCAAGCCCCAGCAGTTAGTCGCCTCGAGTAATACGGAGTGGTCACTGCCATGGCCTGTCAGCGTGCGCTGGTGTCAGAGTGCCGTAGGCCTGGGGCTCGTCCCCCAGGTCTCCGCAAATACCCTGACTGCCCTCGCGGCTGGTGTTTCTGGCTACAGAGCACACTCCCACCAGAGTGAGCTTGGGCTCACCTGGCTGAGGTCTGAGTGTGCCTGACAGGGACTGTCTTCCACTTCACAGATGGGGAAACTGAGGCCCAGGGAGGTGAACATGGAACAGCCGCAGTGAGACCCAGATTTCCTGGCTGGGGTTCTGGGGCTCTTCCCACCCAGCTAGTCCACATGTGCGGACAGCTCCGGGGGCAGGGAGAACCCTCTATTTCGGGATTTTCTTCTTCTCTCCTGTAGCCTCAGACCAGGGCTTAGAAGCTCTGCCTCCCTAGCTGGGACTTTCACCCTGAACGTTTTCATGCAAGGCAGCTGCCTCTAAAAATGGAAAGTCCCAGCTGGGCTTACAAGGAATGAAATCAGTCCCAAGCCCCGATCTCTCTGAAAAGTTGTTATTAAATTCTGTGCGTGACCCTGACCTGGATTTAAAGATTTGCAAGAAGACAAATTCCAAACAGATGCCCATTAGGGCCCTGACAGCCGCAGCTTAAAGATAACATTTACATTCTGCCGGGGTTAGTATCTCTCTGTTCCCCGCTCGGCCCCTTCCCCGCCTCCAGTGGGACCCGCACCTCGGCTGAGGTTACATGGAGGTGGCCACGTTCTTTTAAGCTGTTTGCTCAGTGCTTGGTTTGCTGTGTTAACACACCGGGCACTTCTTCCAACAGGCCTGTTTGCCCAGTATTAGGGCTGTTTGCTGAAACACCTAGCCCAATCCGAGGGGGCTCAAGCTTTCTAAACAGTTGGTCCCTGAATCTGTCAGTCAGTAAGTCCAATTGGGTTCCTCAGCTTGACAAGGCGGACACTTGCCAAGCGCGCAGGCTGTCGGGAAGGTGCCGTGCTGACAAGCAGAGCTGACTCCGGGAAAGGACACACGAGCAAACATGAAGACCCCTTTATGAAAGGCAATTCACTGGCATGCACAGAGGTCACCTCCTTGTCCAGGCCTGGTATCATTACAAACGGCAGGGTCGGGGCTTTGGTTTCCCCAGCGCTGGCAAAGGGGCCTGGGTCTCTATTAGGGAAGCCTGAGGTTGGGTCCAGATTGGCCCAGACTGGTAGGTGGTCAGAGGGGCAGGAGTGTATTATCGAGCCCCTAATATCAACCTCCAAGAAGGCTGGAACAGAGCGAGAGGGGAGAGAGCTGTGAGTGGCGCTCAGTAGGTACGGCCTTTTCCTTTGGGGTGTGGAAACTCTTTGGAACTGGATAGAGTGTTGCTTGCACTGCACTGGGAGTGGACTAAATGCCCTTTAGCACAGTTAATTGGGCCAAGTCTGGTGAAAGTGCTGGATCCCATATGGCCAACGTGCGATTTGAGTCCCGGCCCGGTGACTTGAGAAACTCGCCTGGCATTGTGCACACGTGCCCCAAATCCCAAGAGGAGTATGGAGAAGAGGGGATTGCAGTGGAGCTATGCCCTCAGGGTGCCTTCTCGCTTTCCCTTTCTCTCTGTCTCTCTCCAGCGAGAGCATGCACCCTATAGCAAAGAGGAAGTATCTATGTAAAATAAGTGGCTAATACTGAGGACATTTACATTTGCGAGGCTCTAATGCCTAACTCAGGGTTGGCTCAGAGTAAATGCTTAATAAATGTTTATTGAAAGAACAACCTAACATTTGCACAGTCAACAAAGCTCTTTGTTATACATTAGCTCATTTCATCCTTAAAGAACCCTCAGAGGTGGGGAGAGGGAGGGGGTCTCTCTTATAAAGGGGAGACCGAGGCTTAGAGGGGAGCGAGGCTTGCATAATACGGCATGGTTAACTGTGGCAGTGCAGGGATTCAGACTCCGAAGTGTCTGGCTCCAAAGTCTATGTGTGTAACTACACTGTTTCACCCACCGTGCGGCTTCCAGAAATTGGATTTTACATATACTCCCCCACCCCTTCCTTCTTTTCTCTTAGAAAAATCTATTATGAAAAATATTTCAAAGCTGGACTGTCAGGGACAGCCACTCAGCCTCACGACAGTTCCTAGAGCAGTGCTTGATAAATATTTGCAGATTCATCCTGCCGCAGGTGCGGAGGCCTCCTCTGCTTGCTGTGGTGACTGTCCTGCGAAGCTCAGGCAGCCAAGAGTATTAATGAAGTCGAGAAATGCTGGCTGCCGGCCCCTGAGGTTGACCCTGCAGGACTGGGTGAGTGAGGACTCCCAGAAGCCTTTGCCGGTGCTCAGAGCCCTGTGTGTGCCCGTGGCTCGTGATGGGAAGCCTGGGGGTGGAGTGAACCAACTGTCGGCCCCTCTGATCCCTGTCAGTCTGGGTGTGGGGTGGTAGCTGAGAGGCTGATCGTTCCCCAGAGGCTGCATGGGAAGGGCCCAGACCTCGGAATCATGCTGGATTGTATTTACTTCCATCTCTGCTCCTTCCTCCTACGAAATCTTGGGCTGGTGCTTCAGCGTTCCCGAGCTGAGCGGCGTAACAGGCCCACCTCGCTGCTCCTGTGGGAGGGGATGGAGGAGTCTGGAAGCACAGCGTGGAGCTGGGCACAGGGTGGTGCTCGGCACAGGGTGGAGGCTGCAGGAAACACTGCCCTCCCGTGCCCACCTTGGGGAGACCCAGAACAGCAATAGAAAATGGCTGGGGCGGGGTAGCTGGGTATGTCCTCCCTGACTTAGAGCAAGGGTCTTTAATGGGCTCCACAGAGCTCTGGCAAAAATATCTTAAAAAACAAAAGATTGAACACAACCGAGTTCTCTTTCCCACTATACAAGATGGGGGTGAAAAAGCTGCCAAGCAGGAGGCTAAGGAGAAGAAACCTGAAGCCAAGAAGGCCGATGCCAGTGGCAAGGTTAAAAAGGGTGACCCCAAAGCTAAAACGC